ACTTATATACAAGTTGTATTCACAATATCTAACAATTCGATAGTTGCCGAAAGAACAAGATGTACCAAATCGTTGGTAGAATAAATATCGCGTATCTTTCTTCTAATTTTTACATATGTATTAATTTAAAAATATACCATATAAATAGTCCAAATAAAATTACAAACCATATGTCGGTCGATATTCTAAAAAAACTATGACTTATTTGTTTAGTAATGTCACTTAGATTTCCTAATACTTAATGATAACTTCATGAGAATGCCTTCATAGGGAACAACCAACCGGAATTCGTACTTGCAAAAAAATAAATCTTGATTTTTGCAAGTACGAATTCCAGTCGGTCGTTCTCCATGTCAAATACGGTGTAGTACCGACCAATAAATACATCGCCCAAAATCCACTGTATACCATCAGGTAGATAAACATCTTGGAAGGCGGGCACACAAAGATCTATCTCGTCTTCTGTGATCTATGAGACATTAAATATGGCATGATATTTCTATATTCTAAAAACAATTTAAACCTTTATATAATAATATTCTTTACCTTCAAGATATAATCTTGACCAGTGAGTCGTAACGTCTTACCACCTATGACGAAATTGATATCGGGCAAATTAGAAATCTCGTCGCACTTCACCTTTAAACAAAAATCAATGTTAGTAATCCATATTAATAATCCGAACTTATCAAACATTTATTAATTTATTTTAATAATTTAATTAAAATAATTGTGAAAGCTTTCATTAACGAAAAGGATCTATTATTTACTGTACCATTATTAACACCGATCTCTCTGTAAAGAGCTTTGATAGCCGCCGGTGGTCCACTTATCACAGAAGCGCCCGTGTCGATGATAGCTTGACAGCCTTCCCAGCAAGAGATGTAATTTTTTACTTGAATCCTACAGTGGGATTACCAATTAGCTGACATATATATAATCCGTGGTTGACATACGTATAATTTAAAAAAGAAACTACATACTTATCCATTTTAAACTGCCAGTATTTTTTGTGGAAAACATTCACAAACGTAAACTCGCCCTCGTAATGGGAAGGATCGATGCCACCCAATATCAGTTCACCGCCGAACACGCCCGTGACATTTCTGTATAGGTTGTATATTTTTTACATTGTTTATACATTTGCATTTTACATTGCATGGAAAGACAAAGTATGTAATTAAAAAATAGTATTAAACAAACGTGATGCACACGGAAAGATACATACCGATTTAGATAGAAGCTAAAAATTTGTTGGGACACCATCTCTCGATTAATCATGTTTCGGAAAACAGAAGGATTATTAAAGCGAGATAAGGCTGGATAACCCATCCCCAGAACGCCGTCGCATTGTGCAGAGTCCCAGAAACTTGTCGAGAAATTGTGCGCTACTCCGAATGTCTGATAGGATGAAACCTTAAGGCCAGCAATCTGCGAAACGTTGATATTATTAATAAAGTATAACTGCGCGCGTTTTTTTCGGAGAATAATAGCAATATGTGTTCCTTAGAAAACTTTCATAAATTATGACTATAATTAGAATTAAGTCGGACCATTTATTTGACGATGACTTACAATTATTACGTCGATAGACAAGGACTGCAACATACGGCCATGTTTTTTGTAATCATTAAGATAAAATGCATCATTCTGTGATATATTAGATATATATGTGGTGGACTTTGTATGATCATACTTATTATGGTTCACTGCAAAAAGTAATAAATATAATTAAATTAGTTAATATTGAAAAGTCTAGAAATATAAAAATTTCCCTTTATTAATCTAAATATATAACTAACAGTAGTTAAATCATCAAATATATTCAGTTAAATCATCAAATATATTTATGTTTATATCTTTGCTTTAACATGTGAGCTGTTTTGTATAAAAAATTATTTGTATGTTTAAAGTAAGTGTGCTAAATAATGTAAATAAGAGAGTATGTAAGTATGGAACTTAGCTACATAATATTTACCTTACCACTGATTCGAATCTTTGAAACGGTTGCTTTAAAGATTTTATAACTTTACTTGAAATATAAATGGAATAGATACAATTCTACAGCATTATTATTCTCTTATATTTTTACTTGACATCAATCATTAAACGAGAAAAAAGTTATTAAGATTATTTTAATACTTGAAACATTACTTTTTTTAATGCAAATAATGTACATATAGGAATAATAGAATGTCGGGAAGGTAACGATGTTATGATATACTTACAGCAAGCAGGTTGGCTGACGTTGCAGTTTTTGGATGGTACCCAGAGATCTGATGAACCAGTATCGAAAAGTACTGTAAACTTTTGCGGTGGCGTACCAATTTCGATAGTAGCGCAGTATTGAAAATTTCTCCAATTGATCAGAGGTACGGTTGCCGTATCCGAACGGAGTCGTGGGTCGTTTGTCTGGTATAACGGAATTCTTGAAGCAACATAAAAAAATTTCCGTTATATTATATGCGTATATGTATCGTATAAACGCGAATGTATGTACATATATCGTAGAACATAAATACGAATTTCAAATAATTTATTTGATCATTTTCAAGCACTTTTTATTTAAAAACTGTTAAAGCCTCAACATTTTGGCATTAAGAAATAAATGCTATCTGCATTACGCATTAGAATTTAGTTAGGTATTTTAAGTGAGATTGGTGTAATCACGAAAAGAGGATATCACACGACGCTAAACTCACTTAAAATAAGATTTTCGAAGGAATCCTCAAAGCATCTATATAGAGTGTAATTAGTTTGCTCACTTTATTCCGACTTTCAAAATGCGTTTTTCTTACAGATTTGATGCAATTATGGTATTTGAAATTGATTTATTGATAATTATTTATCGCGAATTCTGCGGCGATTCCAAGTAGTTGGAAGCGCGATCTCTGTACGGTATTATAATTCATCGTGTCGATATAAATGTGGATCGTTTTTGTATATAACGTATGTACTCACTTATACACGTCCTTATACACCTCCGCGTTGATTGACGCGAAGATGATTACCGTGATTACCGTCATTGTCACAAAAAACCGATACATATGTATCGGCTTTTTGTGACAATGACGGTAATCACGGTAATGTTTCCTGAATTTTTCGGCGACTGAAGCTACGAAAGTCAAAATTGTTTTAGGACCGTTAGAACTGCGAGTCAATCCACAACCGATACGTACAGACAAAGAACAGGCAGTCAAATTGCTTAGCGTTTCCTTATATACAAATGTGCGTATATGTCCTTGTGCTTATAAGAAGGTGGGGGCAGGAGGGCAGAAAAACAAGCGAAGCATTTCAAAGCTTTGTGTTCGAACGATATTAGAAATCGCTTCGAGATCTCGGATGGAGAAATAAAATTGAATAATCATATTTAAGCAATTCGACAATTGGCCAATGCGATTGGTCAGTTGCCGAAAATTTAAGAATTTTATCAACATAAAGAATTAATCAAATTTAACAATTTTATAAACATAAAGAATTTGTCAAATTCAAGAACTTTATCAACATAAAGAATTTTGTTAGTTTTCAAGAATTTTCTCTATTATCAAAAATATTTTGATTTCCAAGAATTTCTGGAATTTCTAAGAATTCGGGCTTTCAAATCCGGCTTGGTACAATTGTT